AGGACCTCCCAGAGCCCGCCCCGCAGACCCTCCCACACTTCCGCTTTCCGCCCACACCGGAAGCGGCGCGCGGCGCGGGGAGCTGGGCGGGGCCGCGAGGACGGCCGGCGTCACGTGGTGCGCAGGGGCGTGGACCCGGAACAGTAGAGGCTCTTATTCTGAGCGTCTTAAGCCTGGCTCGGGACTCGAGGATGTCTCGTTGCGACGCTGTTTGCCCAAGACAGTGGGCCCCCGGGCCCGGAACCCATCTCTGCCTCAATCGCGACCCCTCGTTTCTCAGACGGAGATGCCGGGACTTCCTGCGAAGCGCCGGCTTGATAGGAACTGCGGATTCTTCACAAGCCAAGTTGTACGCGATTCCCGGGAAGCGCTGCTCCAGGGACTCCTGGAGGTATTGGTGGTTTTCTAGCTTTCTTGCCGGGTTGCATTCTTCCAGATGGAGGCTGGACCCTGCATACCCAGTCCTTGCATGCCACAGAGCCGCAGCCTGCAAACTGCCCTACCCCCTTTCAACTGCCTCACCTTCGAGTCACTTGGCAGACATAAAAATACCTAATGTTTATGAAGCTCTTGCTATGTACTCGCTTTCATGTATTACCTCCTTTAATCGTTATATCAAGCCTGTAACGTTATCCTCAGTTTTATGTGTTATTTAACACAGTGCTTACTACCTTCTCAGTGCTTTATTAATATTAACTCATTTAATACTCCGATCAACTCTGTAAGGTAAGTATGCTAATATTACTCTCCCAAGGCCACAGAGATGAAGAGCACAGAGCTAATAATGCAGGTTTAGGGATGTAAAGTCTGATTCTGGAGCCTGCACCACCAAACTGACAACCACTGATATGTACCCACTAATTGAACATCAGAGTCAGAGAGCTTCCTTTCCTCTCTGAGCTCCAGTTTAAACTATTGCCATGGGTACATCTTCAGTTGCCACCACCATCAATGAGTGTTAGGAAAAAGGCAGCTGCCACCCAATTTACCATGGGGATAGTTGCAGGAGCAACTTACCCAGAGTAACCTTTCGTTGTTGCTAATTGTCCTGCTTTTCCCCTATGCCATCTATGAAACTTAACACCTGAGCAAACAACTTTGAGGGCTACCCAGATATGGCACCCCATATTCTAAAAATGGGATAATGGAGCCATTATCCTGACACAGGAGGAAAACATTTACAGAGGACTGTCTATAATCCTAGATTGTCACTTGATCCTTAAAACAATACTATGAAGTAAGAGTTATTATCCCCAGTTTATAGGTTAGGAAACTAGTGAGAGCAAAGATTTTAACCCAAGACTATCCTGACTCCAGAAAATTCACGTTTTATTTGTCACTTTGCTCTGTTAGAAATCTGTACAAATGGCAGTGGGAGCCCTGAGGAAGTTGAGATCAAGGAGAGTTCCTACAAAGTTCAGGAAGCCTTCACAGGTCCCTCCTGCAAGAAGCCAATTTTCAGTCCTCTGAAATCCCCTAGCACTTTTCCTATACGACTTGACTTTACCTTATGTTCAGACCCTGCTGCCCACTGGGGTTTTTCCTCCTTGAAAGATCTAATCTTCCATTCTGCCTACATACTCCTCCCTCTAGATCAGCGGTTCTCAACCTTCCTAATGCCGCGACCCTTTAATACAATTCCTCATGTTGTGGTGACCCCCAATTTCACTGTTACAAATTGAACATAATTAAAGCATAGTGACTAATCACAAAAACAATATGTAATTATATATGTGTTTTCCAATGGTCTTAGGCGACCCCTGTGAAAGGGTCGTTCGACCCCCAAAGGGGTCGCGACCCACAGGTTGAGAACCGCTGCTCTAGATGAATAGGTACTCAATAAACATGTTTAAAATAAAGTCAAGTTATCAATACATAATACCAAACATCCCTCCTTTGTCCCCTCCCCAGGATTTTTCCAGAAGATAGACATTAGCATTGGAAGGTACAGAATGTCTTTTCCACTGTTGATGGGACCCCA